CCTCTCTCCCGATAGATATTTTACCTCAGAAGGAATTGGGGGTGATGCAGGAATTGTGCTTATAAATTGCTACCGGCAACCTGTGCTGGCAGGAAGAGGCAGGAGCCTGCCAGGCACAGGTCTGATGAGAGAACCAGGTCACACGTAAAACAAGATGAAACCTTGCCATTTACGACAAGATGGATGGACCTTGAGGGTATCAAGTGAAATAAATCAGACGGAGAAGCACAAAACTGTATGATTTCACTCATATGTGAAATATAGAAAACAAATAAACAAACAAAAAAACAAAATAAATGAACAAGGGCTTCCCTGGTGGTGCAGTGGTTAAGAATCCACCTGCCAATGCAGGGGACCCGGGTTCGAGCTCTGGTCTGGGAAGATCCCACATGCCACAGAGCAACTAAGCCCCTGTGCCACAGCTACAATGCAACTACTGCAATGCCCATGAGGTATATAGATGGATTTTGCCTAAGATTTAGCAATAGTTGAAAGAAATTATAAATCATGCCCTTACTTTCTATTACCTTTTAATTAAGGTCCACGAGAATCTGGGTTGGAAAATGGTATAAATCTGGGGTTGGGGAAATAAAGGTACCCCTGTGTCATAAATTTCCTGAATTACCTAAGAAACTTCACTATACATCACCATGGATGTGGGGACATAATTAGACAAGACATATAACTGAATCTGTGGAACAACAAATGTCTTATGCTACCTTCAGTAGTTTAAAAACAAAAACCCACAAAAACTTATCAGGAAGAAGGGAGAACCTGGTGGTTCCCTATATACATAATTTTCAAATCTAACAATTTGTTGTGGTGAGTTAGCTGTCTTGATAGGCTGGGGTAAATTAAATCTTTTCGTGGCTAAAACTGCTATCTTTATACCATTGTTTCCAAATTTCTATCTCCAGCTAATTCCTAGAATTCACCTTTCATAGACAATGATGAGCTCTTAGGAATCCCCTGGCAGTTCAGTGGTTAGGACCTGGCGCTTTCACTGCCAAGGGCCCTGGTTCAATCCCTGGTCGGGGACTAAGATCCTGCAAGCTGTACATGGTGCGGCCAAAAAAGTAAAAGATAAGTTCTAAAGGCTATCTGTGAAATCTCAGAAAAGACGATGACACAGTATGATACCATTTTTTCCAAATTTATTTTAAAAATCAGCATGCCCATCAGAAAAAGTTTGGAAGGATATATGCCAAAATATTAACAGTTATGGCAATGATGGGCTCCAGACTCAAATATCCAACTATGTATTTCTACCTGGATGGCCCAAATATGTTAAAAACTGAGCTCACCTTTACACCCTACTTCTATCCTCCTTACCACTAAAACTGGCTCTTCCTCCTTACTCCCAGTACAGGATAAAGGGGCCAACACCCACCCACAGTCTGCTGGGCTAGAAATCAAAGTTCTGAAATTTACATCTTGAAATAGGAATAAAAGTAGCTTTCTAGGGCTTCCCTGGTGGCGCAGTGGTTGGGAGTCCGCCTGCCGATGCAGGGGATGCGGGTTCGTGCCCCGGTCCGGGAGGATCCCACATGCCGCGAAGCGGCTGGGCCCGTGGGCCATGGCCGCTGAGCCTGCGCGTCCGGAGCCTGTGCTCTGCAGCGGGAGAGGCCACAACAGTGAGAGGCCCGCGTACAGCAAAAAAAAAAAAAAAAAAAAAAAAAAAAAAAGTAGCTTTCTAACTCCAGGCTTATCCTGCCTACCTCATTCCCATTTTCCCCCTATTACATTCGAAAAATCCTGTCTACTTCCCAATTTACTACAGAAAATGGGGGGCCGGGGGGCAACAGGACAGACGCTTTCAACCTAAGGGTACGATTTCTAATAATATGCTCACTATACAGAGAATTCCACACTAACACAACAACAGTATTTGGTATTAGCTAACCCTCCCCCCGCCAAAAACAAGCTGGTTACAACGGAGTCTAACTTGAATTTAACTCTCACTTGCTTATCAAGGTCCCTTAGATTATGTAGTATAACACATAATACATCATTAATATTCAGGATGAGCCAGAAGCCACTGCAAGAAGGAAACTCTATACTTACTTGCTCTGTTGGGAACAGGGTGTTGATATACTCCACAGCATTGAAATCTGCTCGATCTAGAGGATCCTGGCTTGGAAATACCTACATAAAGATAGAGAATTAAAAATCACCTATCTTTCTGCCTTGCTTTATGTATTATTTCTTTCCTCCCTATTGGTTGGTAAGTTTTTTGAAGGCAAAGACCATAGCTTTTTTTCATTTTACGAGGCTTAACAACAACAGACGCGCAATAAAATATCTGGTAAAGTAAATCTGTAATTTTCACCAACATCTATAATTTTAACATCTTGGTAAAACTAACAGAATGTGCAACAGTGAAAAGTTCCAGATATCCACGAAATCCCAAGGACAAGGTAAAATAAGTGGGAATTGTACACTATCAGATTAAGCCAGCGGATGACATGGTTGTATTAAGGGAATCTTGATAACAGACTTATTATACACCATGTCTCAGTGATGTCTCAGCAGTAGAATTCACTATGCATCAAAGCGATTATTATGCTCAGACAGCGTCAAGAAGTGGAGAGCTGACATTTAGGAACTGCCCATCTCTTTTACAGAAGAAAGCAAGCCGCCTTCTGAGAAATATAGCTAACTCCCTTCAAATGTTGCAGTTTGAAGAACATGTAACAAGGTGGGTTACAAAGCAGTTAAGTGATCCCCTGGGTACTAGATTTCACCAGCTCAAGGCAGTTATTCTGGGAAGCAAATTCTTTTTTGAGGTCTGCTTATTGGAGAAACCTATGCTAGAATTCAGTCTTACTAAGAAATAGGAAAAACTGTGCTCTTCTAAAACCCTTGTCAAACAATAACTGACTGCATTATTTGTTTCTTCTATTGGAGCCCACTAGGTCCAAAGGGGATGAAATGTATGTCTCTGGGAATTCCCTGGCAGTCCAGTGGTTAGGACTCGTGCTCTCACTGCGGGCAGCCCAGGTTCAATCCCTGGTAGGGGAACTAAGATCCCACAAGCCCTGAGACAAGGCCAAACAAACAAACAAACAAACCAAAAACAAACGAAAAAAGAAACGTATGTCTCTTTCTGGCAGATGGAGGTGGGTGGGAAGCAGTGTGACTTGAACACCAAAACCTTTGCCTAATGGCCTGGCATCCTCAGGATCTGCCAAATGTGCTGTGAATGAGTAATCCAACCACTCCAAGGGAAACACATCTAAAAATCTATAAATGGGACAATACAAACAAATAACTTAGTACACTGGCAGACCCATAGTAAGTATTAATGGTCAATAAATATTAACTATCAGTAATAGAAGTAGTCATGTTTTACTTCAAAAAACTTCCCAGTGGTCGTTAAGTATGGCACACCCCTCCTTTTCCTAAATACCCTACACCAACTTCTTTAAGGGAGATTTTTCTCCCTTTATCAGGAGCGATACCCTGTACAAGGGTCTAAATTGCTATTTCTAATATCATCACTCTTAAAAACTCCATACACTTGAAAAGAGAATTTAGTCGCCTAAAGAGTTCCTGCAGGGAAGAAAAGCCACCTGGGAATATTCTTCAACCTAACCCAAACTAATCAACAGCAGGAA